ACCGTCAGGCTCTGGGATCTGGGCTAGGCCAGCCTAGGGAGTCCGCGAGCAGCGTCCCTCCGGCCAGGCACCTTTCACCAATCCCGTCTGAGAGGGAAATGCGCGGCTGCAGTTGCCACCGCGCCCTGCTCTTACAGGACTGCCCGCGCCCAGAAAATCCTCCGCTGGAGTCAGACTGCGGTAGGGAGTCAGTTCCTCGCTCACCTCGCCACCAGTCAGCCTTCCTTCCTGCCCGTCGCGTTTCCGAGACCGTTCCCAGACGCCCGTTCCCAGAGCTCGGGGGTCGAGTCTCTCCTTGCTGAGCCGCTGTGGAGGTGGCCGGCCGCCGCGCGGCGGGAAATCCAAGCCGCGGTTTCCGATGGCGCGGAGTCGAGCCTCCACACCGAGATTTTTCTGTTCCTATTTTAGCACCAGGACTGTATTCCAAGTTGGATTCTCTCAGCCCAGTTCGTTCCTGAGTCAGCAGAGCATATCTCTACTGGTTCGTATCTCCTTAGTCCGCATCATTCCTGGCCTCTGAGCCGAGCCTTTAGAGAGCGTTCAGTATTTGCTGTTGTCTGTCCGCCATGTTCTCCAGAGTCTTAATGAGTATTTCTAAATAAGGTCGTAAATAATGATTGCCACAATTATTTGTCCATGTAAAACTTGATGATGTTTTTTGGAACATGTATTGCTTCCCATTGCTACTATTACCATAAGCTTAGTGGCTTAAAGCAATGCAAAATCTAATTGTAGAGGCTGGGTGTCTGAAATGAGATAGTAGAGCTGGTTGCTACTGGATGCCATAGGGGAGAACTCCTGGCCCTGCCTTATTTACCTTCTAAAAGCCTGCCTTCCTTAGCTGCTGCCTGCTCCAAGACCAGCAGAGCAGCATCTCTCAACATCTCTCTCTCCCTCTGTCACCTGTCCTTCCATCATTGTTACTTGTGACTCCCAAACCTTTGGCTGCCTGTTACAAAGGTCCTGTGACTATGTCAGACTCACTCCAATAACTCAAGCTAATCTTCCCATCTCAGTTAACATCATCTGCGAAGTCCCCATAGCCATGGAAGATAACATATCCACAGTCTGCAGGGATTTGAAAGCAGACGTGTTTGAGGGCTGTTATTCTTCCCACCCCAGGGCATATGTTCCTCAGTAGCACTGCCAGTGGTTAAGGGAATCAGCAGCTATTCCTTAGGGAATCCCAGTGGACCTCCACAGCCACCACGCTGTTACTCCTAAGGGAAAATGAGCCCTCGGTCGCAGAACAAAGGAATTTGCACTTGTGATACACAACCATGGATAAGATGTGGACTCTCTACAATGATAGCAATAAACACCACTAAAAACCTGTTACATCAAAAAATTTCAAGACTTTTAAAACCCTATATAATTGTGAGCCTAGTTACATTGAAGGAGGCACACAAGTCATGATTCTGCAGTAAATTTTCTCTCTTCAAGAAAGTGTGTGATAATGGAGTCTTAACTTGGAACCATGTCATGGCTACTGCCCAACAGATTTCATCTTCTTTTTATACAATGGCCAGGAAGGAAGGCATGATACAAATGCTCCAGTAGGTGTTAAATAGAAACACAGATATGAGAAGATTGGCCATGTGAAGAGTCAATCGGAAGAGCTTGACCATGAGGAAAAGCAGAAAAATAAAATGAGAAATTAAAAAAAATAGACTAACGAATGAGCAAATTATTGAAGTCTAACATGTCATAAAAAATTTGTTTTACAAAGCTTCCAGAGAAAGACATTAACCAGGTAATCCAGGAAATCTAAGGAAAATCTAAGGTAATCTAAGGAAAGAATTCAATTTTGAGTAATCAGGATAAGAAGACTCCATAGCTTTCAAAAGAAGTGAACTTTTCTCTCCAAATACAGGCATCAAAGATTTTTGAAATTTCACATAGATTTATGATATTTGACATTAAAGGGGAGTGACATAAGATTAATTATTACAAATCTCGATGTTACTGTATCACAAAGCTATGAGGTTCCCCTGGAGGCAGGAACAGTATCTGGTCAATCTTGGGGACCCCAGCTTAGCTCACAGTTTGGCATATTGTCCTAATGTGTGTTGAACACCAAGCAAGATGATTACAAAGTTAACTGCTTCCTATCCTAGCACTGACTCATCTATATAAAAGTAACTGCCTAAAGAAAGGTGTGTGAAACAAGAAATGTAAAAAGTATGATATGAAGCAGCAGATTCTTGAGAATCTTAAAGGACACATACAGAGATTTTCTTCATTTCCAAAATGCAGTATGAATTGAAAATACAAGTATTTGAGAGTCAGTTGTTGATACTAAATTATAAGACTCATTCTTCAACAAAATTGCAAATTACTATCTATTATTTACCAGGTGTCATGTGTATAATCTCGGGGACTCATTCAGAAGTAGTCAAATTGGCATATACCAAATCAAAGAATAGTTATAGGCAACTATGTTTTATTTAGAAAATCAGGAAAGAAAGTTTCTTCCTTTTAATATTCTAGTACTAGAACCTCCCCTATCCCGCCTCTATTGAGAATATAAATTTGCTATGAGTGAGCTATGACTTATATCTCCTTTTCTATCCTTTGTCTGCATAGTTTGATATTGTGGACTTAATGCAAACTGCGGAAATAGTTGATGACTCAGATTGAATGGAAAAAATACACTAATATGAGCACCATAAAAACCAATATATGTAGGCATAAAATGATTACAACTACTTTCTCACATAGAGTGAGATGTATTGAGTATGTTTTCCCAACTCTTTGCTAACATTCCATGATTAGATGAGTAGATTGTAAAAACCAAATTCACAGGTAATATTTTCAGTACACAGTGTCAGTAGATCTCAAGGGAAAGTACGTAACTAATTCCAGACCAATCCCTGAGAGAATATTTGTAAGTCAAGCCAGGAAATTGTGCTGAAAAGCAATTTTGTGCCATCCACAGCACTGTGACAGTGGTAACAAAAAGTAACAAAGTCTCAAAATATTCAGTTCTTCAATAATACTGAGATTTGTAAGGTTAAGAAGTGCAGAATAATTCAGCTAAAGAAGCAGCTTAGAGATATATAAAAGGATTCAAAATTGTATAAGGAGCCATACTGCTGCCATAGTGGGCTGAGACCCAAGGGAAATAGAGTTAGCTCTTTGAAAGTTAATACTACTTCGATTGATCTGGTCAATAATTCCAGCTAGAGAGATGACATTTATGTGGAGAGTATGTTAGTTGTCATAGCAATAAGTTCTATAGCATTAAGACAGGGTGTAAGTAATAAATTTCAGACTTTTTAAAGGAATAGACCTTTGTGTTGTAATGTTGACTAAAAGTATACAAAATATATTGTTTGATGCTTTTTATTTTCACGCAAGTGATGTGAGTCCTTTTAAATAGTAAGAACTTGAAATGGAACAGGTCAAGAAAAAGGTATGTTGTGTTTAGGGAAATACTTCATACTGTGATGCACAAGTAAGGAGGATACTAATCTTGTTCAATACAACCACTGTTCCAGAATAGGGAAGTTTCCAAGCACAGAGGGAAGTATGGCAAAATATGGCTATAACTATATGGAAAAGATACAGTTGCCTCATGGGCAAAATGTTGTAGGTAACAGCTGATCAAAGCTATAGAAATTCCAAGATCAGCAGTTTGAAGTTTATGGAAATATAGAGAAATGTGATTGACACTAAAAAAAAAATGAGAGGTTGGGAAAATATGACACTAAGGCACTAGGTGATTACTGTACCCAACAGGAAGACAGGTGCCGAAGGAACCTAAAGGCATGAGCTAGAGCAGCAGGTGGCGTTTCCTAAAGAAGCAGAGCTTCAAATGGAAACACGCATAAGGGCAGCACAGGAGAACCGTGAATGGTATCAGTCTGTTTTCTGCTGCTATAGCAAAATCCCAAGGCTGAATATGCACTTTGTAAATAAAACGGGTTTATTTAGCTCACAGGTTTAGAGGCTCCAGGGCAGGAAGTCTGTCGTGCTCTGCCCTGGTGAGGGTCTTGTTGGCTGTGTCATGGCATGGCAGATGGCATCACCCTGGAGTGTGGATGACAGGAAGATACCTGACAGTGAGAGAGGAGGCAGAGTGGGAAGGGGTTAGGCTTGTGGTTTTGTAACAACTGGCCCTTTCAAGAACCAGGGCCCTGCAGAAGCTACCAGAGTCCTTTCCGAGGAAGGATGGACCAGTCAGTTCTCACAGGGTTTACCTCTTTGGATTCCACCAGCGGTAATACACTGAGCACCCAGCTCAGGAGCCTTTCGAGGGTACACTCAACCACAACCACAACTTGACCTTACACAGTTTAAGTGTTTAAAAATTATTTTTGCCAACCCAGGGTATTTTTTTCCCCTTATAACATCTATGAGCATGAGTATCTGCAAGGAATTTTGAGTTATTGGAAAAACAATGCAGGAACACTAGAAAATGGTATTCATGGATTATTGCTGCTTTATAAACTTGTTCTCTTCTCTAAGAGTACTAAGAGAAACTCTGGTACTAAATGTAGTACCAGAATTTAAATCTTTGGATATGAGAGATCATTTTGAAACAAAATAATTGAGAGCTGAGAAGGTTGTAAATTTGGCAAGTTGAATTTTTCTTATGCATAGTTGGGAGATTAAGTAGTTTCATTTAGTGTGAATCTTGATGCTGCTAATAGTAAAAAGGAATATGACTCTGAACTGATCCTATTTTTCCTTTTCAGGTCTGGGGAATACAATAAATTGCCCCTCAGGACATGGGTCATTAATTTGGTGGATGTGCAGTTTTTGTAGACTGTGAAAAGCAATAATAATTTCGGTGTTTTATTACAGGTATCACTGTTTCTTCCCTCTCTTTCATTGTATTACTCATTATATGCATCAACGTGGTGAAGGTAATGTTCTTATGTCCACTGATGTGCGAGGCATAGGATGCAGTTGATAATATCGTTGTGGGACACTGTCATCCTCTATTTCCATAAGCTTCGTGTTCATAGATTTGCATACTGTACTTTTTATTTCAGTAACATTTAACAAAGTCATGGCCACGGAGGAAATTAAACTTGCAAAGAATGTCCACAGTGAGGCTGTGAGTGCCCATGTTTCAGGTATGATTCAAAGTGGCTGTTGTGAGTTGCAAATTAAACAGACAGAAGCCATCTTTTTCCATCTGTTTTTAATATACAAAAATACCTGGATGTACCCTCAAATAGATTATGCAGTAACCTCATGCATCTAGGAAGCATGTTTGCATGTCTGCAGAGTTTTTGTCATGTGTGAGAGCTGTATAGATCCTTAGAAGGCTCCCTCAAAGAACCTGTAGACTAAAGATAAACTGATGTTTAGAATAATGAGAGTAGAGTAAGCATCTGTATTAGTTACCTTTCTGTCACTGGGATTAAATATACAAGGAAGGAAGGAAGGAAGGAAGGAAGGAAGGAAGGAAGGAAGGAAGGAAGCAAGCAAGCTCCCAGACATAAACAGAGCCAAAACAGCAAACGGGGGTGCCAGTCCCCTACTGCACTAAACTCCTAGGGGAGCTCTTTGGTCTCAGTGCCTGGTGATTCTCTCTTTACACAAAATTCTACCAAGCTTCGTTAGCAAATTTTCCATCTCACAAGCACAAGAAACAATACAATTTAAAGAGTGAAGCAACAGTGAGACTTAGACTCACCTAATGAAAAATGAGTTGAAATATGAAAGAAGGAAGTCAGGTGTGGCAGCACATGCCTGGAATTCCAGCACTTGGGAGGCTGAGGCAGGAGGATTGTAGCAAGTTTGAGACCAGCCTGGGCTATAAAGTGAGTTCAAGGCCAGCCTGAACTGTATGGTGAAAGCCTGTCTCAAAAAGCCAAAAAAAAAAAAAAGGAAGAAAAGAAAAGAAATATGAAATAAAGAAAAATACTTTTTTTTTTTTTTTTTGGTACCAGGGATTGAACTTACGACCTTTTGCTTGCCAGGCAGGTACTTTTGCCACTGAGCTAAAACTCAGTACCAGAAGAATACATTTTTAAATAGGCATAATGTTTTAAGGCAGAAGGGCCATTGAGACTGTACTTGTATATTTCAGCTTCTCCTTAAGATATCTTACTGCATCTAAATGTAACAGTATTGGTCCTGAGACATTAAGTACAATAGTCTATTTAATGTATAATCTTCTAAATAGAGAGAATTTTCCATTTCAAATACCCTAGCTTTTGAAAAAAATTGAAGCCAGGAATGATAACTTTGAATTAACCTTATTCTTCACTAATGCCAAGTAAACAAAATGATCCTAATGCAGTGCACTGATTAGGTATTACAGTACCTCTGTTTCTATTAGTAGTGATCAGAATATTTTGAGGCTAAGCCTGGAGGATCACGGGTAGTTCAGGGTCAGCCTGAACTCCAAAATGAGTTTAAAGGCCAGCCTGAACTGCATAGTGAGACCCTGTCTCAAAACCAGAAAACAAACAAGAAAGAAAGAGGGAAAACAAAAATACCTTTAAGAAAATAGAAATCAAAATTCAGATGAAGGGAGTTAGGGAAAACGCTCCCTGTAATACTCACACTAAACTTTGCTCCCCACTCCCCACTCCTCCAGCCAGATGACTCTACAGTGTGTTTGTGAAAGCCAGGCCCCAGTGTAATTTTCTGTGGCTCAGACAATGGAGCTTTGATCACATCTCTCAGGAGGTTACAAAGCCTGTTAAATGTCTTCATTTACTTATTGTAGAGAGTGATTTTTATTTGGAAAGTGTATTTCATTTTTCAGTATATGACTTCTTTTTTTTTGGTCAGGTGGGCTACATCTCATTCGAGTGTATCTCACTTTTTTGGTACTGGCAATGGAACTCAGGACCTTGCCTTTGCAAGGCAGGTGCTGTGGCGCTGGGCTATATCCCCAGGCTGTATGACTCCACTGGTGATGTGTGTCTTACATTTTCCCTTTGGAAATCACAGATTTACTTTGCTGTAAATCTGATTCCTCTGGGCCATTCTACAGTTATTCCTTATTTGGGGGTATAAGAGGGTTGATTTCTCAAGCATTCCTTATTTAAATCCCAAATAAATCTTGTTTTACTTTTAGATTTAGTGAACATACATTAAATTGCCATCATTAAGCTGTCATTTCTTCAGGAAATTGTGCAGCACATTGGCCACAAACTTCAAAGAGAGGAGCAGGCGGCTGCTCCTGACCAGCGCCTCTGACACAGGAGGTTGACTTTCGCACTGAATCAGGGAAGAAGCAGACCCCTAATGATTCATTCCACCCTTCTGTAATATAGTAGTGTTTTTCCATTTATCTGTTCCCTTGGATCGGTTGGGGGATATTTTCTACAAGGAAATAGGAGAAAATGTAGGGGGAAGATAGGAAATCAACACTGAACTGCTTAGTACCTATGGAGGAGCAGACATACGTAAAACTTTCCCCAGAAGAGCTCTTGTGCTATGTTTATGAGTTATTTTTCTTACTTACTGTGTTCCAGATACCCTGTTAGTGCCAAATACATAGGACAGAAAAAAAAAATTTTGTTTAGTCCTCATGTTGAGTTTTTTTTTGGGGGGGGGGTGTTTTTTTCTTTTTTATCGGTACCAGGGATCGAACTCACAACTGCCTGCTTGCAAGGCAGGCGCTTATGCCGCTGAGCTAAATCCTCAGCCCCTCATGCTGAGTTTTTAAGCAGTAAAATAACAAAAGATTTATGCCCTTGAAATAGAAGGGAAAAATAATTGGCATAGAAAAAGCTATACATTTCAGAATAAGATCAAAGTATTAAGCATGGGGTGCTACATTTTTCTTCCAGTGATTCAGATTGGGTAAAGTCTAGGTAGTCATAAATTGCTTAGTATTAGGTAGAAATTTTCCTCTGGTTTTCATTCATCAGGGAACTTGGTATTTTATCAATCTCCTGGTTTTTGTTTGTGTTTTGGTACATGCTTTTTTACCATCACGGAGATGGAGAAGCACTTTGAGAGCAATCTGTCCCATATCTTGTCACACACATAACAGCAAAGCCACTCCTAAAAAGGTTGTCTCTGGTAAGATTCTCCTCACTTTTACTGCCGTGGTAAGATGAACAGAAAAGCAACCACTTGATTGAGATGCAGCCCACCAGAGGCAAACCAAACCAAACCAAAACAGAACTTGTTAATGTACCAAACCAAGAAAGGAAAAGTGTAAGAAGTGCTGGAGTTTGGTGAAAAATACTGTGTAAAACAGACTACTGACTTCAATTTGCAAACTTTTGGTTATAATGGTACCGGTACCCAACAGCACCATTTTCATGCTTTGAGTAGTCAGTTAATGTAGGTTTGAGGAACAGGCTTCCTTAGAACCTTTCTCTACGGCTCTTCTTTAGTTTGAAGCCTTAAGCAGTATTGGTGTGATTCATGCTTCACTCCCTAAGAACTTCCCCTAAAGAAACAAATAAATCAACAAAACAAACAACACCAGGAAGTTTTTTTGCCAGAGAGTTTTCTCTTCCCTGAGCTTAAAGAATGGATCTCACACTTCTGAAAGTTAATTTAAACTTCTGGCATTTAGGATCCCAAGATGAGGATATTGTCTCTTTCCATGAACCGTGTCACCATAACTCAAGAAATCTTCATTTGTTACAGTTTTTATTCTTTCTTTTCAAAGAGTGAAAGCTTTAACATACAGAAGTCTCTCTACCAAACTCATTACAGTAAAAGAATTTCATTTTCATCATGGTGATTACTCTGGCTTCCTTTTTTAACATCTTAAAGGCAGTATTTGTGGCAAATTCTCCCTTTCTTTGTGCTTATTTTCTTTTATTCAAATAAAAAGTTCTAATAAGATAGCCAGAGAGCTCTTCTCCATTTTATTGTGCTGTTGATGAATGGAATTAATTTATTCTCTGTGGCTTTTTAATTAGCCTAGAACTTAGTTTTTATATGAAATAATTCAACACAATGAAATCTTCATTAATCATCAGGTGAGAACTCAGAAGATGAACCAGAGTAGGAAGCGAGGAATGATATCTTTAATGACACTTTCTCTCCCAGTGTTAACACTTCTAATAAACACATCGGGAACATAGGTCATTGCACACAGACTGTAAATTGCTTCGGATGAAAACCACCCAGAAGTTTTCAAATATGCTAATCAGTGATTTCAGTGATACTTGAAGTAATCACTAGATTACTCATCAGATATCATTGCCAAATACAGGGGCCAGAAAGAGTCTTCTGCTGTAGCATTTAGATATTCTACTCCCTTCTATAATTTTTTTTTACACTTTCTTTTTCTTACCAGTATCGGGGATCGAACTCATGACCACCTACTTGCAAGGCAGGTGCTTATGCTGCTGAGCTAAATCCTCAGCCCCACCCTTCTATAATTTTTAACATGAAATTGATGCAACATTAAAACATCTACAGCTTTTTAAATAGTATTTTTAAAGCCACTTTATTTTTTGCAGCAAAATTAAGCTCCTGTACACCACTTATCTACATAGAGTAGTGTTTCAGCTATTAAAATTCACTTTTAAAAAACAGCCTTATTAAGGAGCTGGGCTCAGTTGTATGTGCCTATAATCCCAGCTACTGAGGAGGCCGAGGCAGGAAGATTGCTTGAGCCCAGAAGTTAGTTTGGGTAACATAGCAAAGTTCTGTCTCTTTAAAAAACTTTTATTGGGCCAGGGATATAGCTTAGCAGCAGAAGCACCTGCCTGGCAAGGGCAAGGTCCTGAGTTGGATTCTCAGTATAAAAAAAAGTTTTATTGAGACAAATATATCATAAAATTCACCTTTTTAAGGTATAGTATGTAGTATTTTTATTATATTCACGGTGGAGGAAACATTATTGCTAATTTTATAATTAAAATTTATTTTAAAATGAAATAAAAATGACATTTAGAGAATATAAAGAAAAGGCGTAAAACACTTCATTCATACCAAACTGTTGCCATTTGGGAGGGTACGTTTTATTTTAGGTTTTTACAAACATCCAGATATTTTTATATGGACTAATGAATGTGTAATGATTTTTAAAATTTCTTGTGAGAATAGATGGCTCTGTCTTTCAAAGGCTGTTCACTGTGTGCTGAGGTGTGCTGTGCTTCTCACTGCTGTGTGTATACGCATGAAATTATTCATGAAGTTA